TGGAGATAAAGCAATGAGTTTGCAACTACCAACCAATAGACATGATGTGGATCTGGAGCAAAAGACAAGCAGCCACGTGGTGTGATGGAACCACTCTAGCCAACTTTGTCCTCCCTACCTCAGGACTTCTTTCTGCCTGAGAAAAATAAGCCTCCTACTTGTTTACCCTTCCTTCCTTCCTTCCTTCCTTCCTTCCTTCCTTCCTTACTTCCTTCCTTCTTCCTCCCTCCCTCCCTTCCTTCCTTCCTTCTTTTCTTCCTTCCTTCCTTCCTTCCTTCCTTGTTCTTCCTTGTGCTTTTAAACTTTTGACCCTAGCTTTGTGGTTATACATTTGGTCAAATTGTAATTTTTTGGGCTTCTGCTTCTGGCCAAGATGAAATAAAAAAGAACTATTCTACTGAAAAATCGGACAAAACGTATGAAACAAGTTTTCAAGACCTTATGCATCGTGGCCAACATTAATTCTTGTCCATTATCTCTGTAAAATCATAGATATGGTAATGCAGGGAAAACAGAGGCTGTTCTGTTATGCTTGGAAATTGTCACACAAATGCTCAGAACAGAAAGCCAGAAGCAGATGTTCAGAGGAAATTAGTGGTGACTGAAATTGTATTAATATGTATGCCAAATTCCTCCTGCACTCCACTGTCAAACATTCTAAATCATTCATTTTAGTCTTACTCTCTGATGACATTATATTTTATACTAGGTATATCAGGGCAATAAACCAATAATGAATCACAAGTATATTAATAAACCAAGTTTTATAAATATGAATTCAAAAATTGATCCTATATCACTTTCCTTGGCATACCAAACAATGCATATGTGTCACTTCTAAATGTTTTGGAGCAAATATATTTTAAACTGTAATTTAGATTAAATCATTATAAACTTCCTGATTCTCTTTCTCCTCTTTTTATTAATAATGTCAACAACAACCACAATAATAATGATGATGATAGCTGCTATTTAGTCAGGGGTACAATATAGAATGTAACAAATATACAGTATGTGTAGAATATTATCAATCAGCACACCAACCCAGAAAGACAGACGTCAATATCCCCATTTTACAGAAAGTGAACTGGAGATTCCAAAGAGCTCTTGTCCAAGGCCACACGGAAGGTAAGTGGTTGAGAAGACGGAAGGAGGACAAGCTCACGCTCTTTCCAATATACCAACATGCCTGGTGAAACTACAGTTCACTACACCTGTATTTATTTATGAAAGAGATGACTAATATCACTTTGGCTTCACTAAATTTTTCTCTGCCAGAATTCCAGGACTTCCTCAAATTTGTTTTGAAGCAAATTCATAAATACGAGTATATGTTTAAATACTGTGACAAAGAGATTATAGTATTGTCAGATATTTTGAGATGATAATACACTCTACAAAGATATTTCATAAATGCTCAACTTAAATCACTTAAACTCAACTGAATAAGTCATCTTTGATTGTAGAGGCACATTCTTGAGCTAATTTGTATACTTGTTACTGATCAAGCTCCTCTGATACCACAGATGGAAAAATCAAAGGACTTGAGAAAAAAGATTTAACTGAATTATTGTTCTTTTCACTTTTTAAAAAATGTCTCTAAACTTCAAGAGTCAGAAATCCTACATCAAACTACCAACTAAGCAAAAGCCTCAGTAATTTTTTTTCTTCCAAAAAATACCAATGCATTTCAGTCTGATCTCTTCATTTGAATTTTACTTACATTTACTATTATGAGTGAATCTGGTAAAGAGATGTACCAGTTTTTCAAGAGATTAATGCACTTAGGGAGAATGCTTTAGAGTAAGAATGTCTAATAGGATTCAACTACATAGTGATTTTTCATAATACATTTAATGTGATCTGGCTTCCAAAAAATGAATTTATATGCTTGGAAGGGACACATTAAAAGAAGAGGAAGTTCATCTTAAGGGAATTAAGAAAGACTGCTGGCAAAACAGCCTTTACCTATGGAATACTATTAAGTTTACTACAATGGTCATGAAGTCTAACAGTTGATATGTCAATTCAATAGATAATAATTTCACCTTGTAATCTCTCCACAGTTCTAAATAGGCAATTTCATAGTGTTGATTTGCCTGCTCCAGTCCTTCCCAAAAGCCCAACCTATAATGAAATGATCATAAATACAGTTCAAACTGTACTTTTGAAAGGGAATGGGGCCTTTGCACTGACAACAAATACATTAGGTGTTGGGTAAGTTGGAATCTAATTTTGCCAACTAGAGTAACCTTCGCTAGTATGGAAGATGTAATGTGACTAACTAAGGATCAGTATTCATCCAGACACTCCTTAATCACTGGAAAGGCTCGAGCTAATATGTGTTGTCCCCCTAGTTTTAGTAATTTAGTTACCACCTAGCTGGAACACGCCAGCAGCTCCAGGAAGAGCGGGTCATCCCTGAACAATCCCTGGACTAGCCAGCAAGGGTGTGGGCAAAGGAGACACCGATAATGGGATGGTT